GAATGAGAGTTTAGCAATAAGGTCCGGTAAGGAACTGATAAGACAGAATGACCCTGTGGTAGGGATTATCATGCATATCCTTGAGTTGAGGTTGTTCAACTCTGAGTATGTGTGTGGCTTTTAGGCTATTTTGGTTCCTTTTGAAGTGAGATATTTTAACTTGAGACTACCTCTTTGTCTGACGATCACTATCACTCTCACATTTGTGGGTTTATCCTGATGTATAATGATTAGTTTTTATGTGAGAGATGTACATGATACATCTCGTATGTTTTGTAAATGTGAGATGTGCAATCTGTCTTCTCTTCGATACACTCGCGCAATCTGTCTACGGACAGAAAATAGGCTCGAGTATGAGTAAGGGGAACGCAGTTCGTTTTGGAAAAATGTGTGAGAATCCTAAGGGATTTATGAGTCTCTTGAGACTTAAATGCTTGTCCATGCCGAATGTTAATTGTTGAGCTGAGATGAAGACCCATAAGTTGGTCTCTCAGTAATGAGTGTTTATGATTGATTACCCTCCATGTGGGAGGTGATTGTAAAAATTTATGATTGATTACCCTCCGTGAGGGAGGTGGTTGTGAGATTTTATGAGTGAGTCCCCTTCAAAGGTGGAAGGTGGTTAAATGATTTGAAATGGCATGGAAAGCAGGTTGGATGATAAAGTCTGACGAGAAAAAACAAGAGAAATTATTATTCATTGGTGAAATTTTGGAACGTCGCAAATTGATAAAATTTTGAGAGATGTCTTTAAGATGTGTGTTCTGCTTTACTCTGATCAAGTGGGAGGCCACGACCCTGTGAATCTGAAGGTGAAATTTTGTGGATTTTGGAGAGGATGCAGTGCTCTCTATGTCGTCCCATAGAGAATTGGTGAATGCCTTTGAGTGAAAACAGACCTCTGCGTAGTCCCGAAGTAGGCCTGAGTTATTGCGACACATCGTTCAGTCACTATGACGCTAGTCTTAAGACATATATGAAAGACCCAACTAGGGGTTAATCTAGCATCACTAGGGCGCAACCCCTAGTGTTGGCTGCTGATTGGCGCAACCTGTCAGCGGACCCACGTTTCACCAAAGGGTAAGGCTTGAGGGGTGTGGCCGCCTCAGAGAGTCTTATTCCCGCGGGATGTCGGAGGGATAAGAGTCGAGTCTGTCGTGTTTTTTTTAAGAGTCCTTATAAAGTGTTTATCAGGAAATTTGCTTATCGTTGCGCAACCAACGAGGGCACTGCCGCTAATATAACAACGCGGTGGACCGTAGATCTGGCTCGATCAACCAGACTATGGTGGACCAAGATGGAGACCTGACTCTACTGTACTAGACTGCAGGAGGAATCTGTGATAAAAAGTTTATATTTTTGTGGATATTTTTGTGAGGAAGATGATGGTGCCTTCAAAAGGTCTCGGTTAGGGCCCGCGTCTTAAGTTATGACCCTTGGACGATGACTAAATAGGACACCCAACGATGAACCGGCAGGTGTCTAGGACAAAGGGAGAGGATTTTCAGCAACTACCCAGCATGAACTTTACGTTGTAGTACTGATCTAGTACACCTACGTTTGCAGGAGATCCATGTTGAAACCCTGGCAGCAGCAAGACGTATTGGGTACTGTCTGTTAAACACTCGAACGGAGTCAGTCGGCCAATCGGATTGAATCTTTTCTCGTCAGCATTTGAAGTTATGGATGAATTGATAGCTTTTGATTATTCGACGCGACGGGGACGTCGTTTAATAAGGTCCGGTAAGCTGTCGGCGCAAATACCCTTACAAGGGTATTCGCCCTGGTTTTTGCAAGTGACAAAAAATAAGTTTCGTTCAAAATTTTAGTATACCGTGCGAAGTCGCGGTTGCGTTTTGTTCACATTGACTAAATGGTTGACTGAAAGTAGGAAGTGTGTGAGCACGCAGTTCTGAGACGTGCGTGATGATTTTTATTTTGATGTTATAGAGTCGGCGTCTCCGCCGGCAAAATTTTTGGCTTTGATTAAAACTAGGAATTTTTTTTTTTAATTGAAGTGACCATGGTACATCTGCGTTCATACGGCGTGCGTCATCGGAAGTGGTGTTGCTTTGGGCAGTAATTAGGGTGTGCGAGAAAAAGTAGACGCGGGAGGTTGACGGTCGTGGACGGAGCCAGGCCCTATGAGCGGCAGGCGTCATAGGTCGGCAGTCGTGAGTTTGGTCCATGGGCAGAGGAGCGACCTTGAGGAATTTTGGTAGGCCTGCGTGCCGTGCGGCAATAGTTTATATTGAATTTTGCAGTAATTTGTCTTAGGCTTAGGCTCAGCCCTATTGGTTACAACACTAGACTTTCAGCCGGCGGGTACCGGGATCAAGGCCAACAGTCAGCAGCAGAGGAGCGAAGGAGCGCAGGAGAGCCGAGGAGCGAAAGTGCGAACAGGCCTTCGCGACCCTCAAGGAAGCTCTGGCAACGACACCTATTTTGATCCGGCCGGACCCCGCGAAGCAGTTCATTCTCATACCGGATTGGCAGCCGGAGGCTATTTCCGCTATTTTGGCGCAGAAGGGGAACGATGGCCGTGAACACGTCATCGAATATGCGTCCCGCACGGTGCCAGACAAACGGAGAAACGATTCGGCCACACAGGGCGAATGCTACGCAGTAGTGTGGGGAATCCAACACTTCCATCCGTATCTGTACGGACAAAAGTTCCTCCTTGTTACTGATCACGAGCCCTTGCTAGCATTGAAAAGGCTTACTAATTACACGGGCATGATTGGACGTTGGGCAGTACGCCTACAGGAGTACGACTTCGACATCAGCCATCGGAAGACGGAGAGGCACGGCAACGCGGACGGACTGACACGTCTGCATCGACCAGCTAAGGTGCCTAAGGCAGAAGAGATCATCCCGTGGAAGGAATTGCCGTCGGCGAACGGAACCAATTACGGACAAGTGGCAGTCCTTCCACGTGGCAAGAGGCAGGCAGGTGGCAATGGGTGACGGAGGTAATCCTACAACTCCCCTCTCTCCCCTCTCCTCCTCATCTCTCCTCTCCCTGCCTGATAAATTTTGTTATTTTTGTGAAGCAATTTCTCGTGAATATTCAGTCTCTATGCGCCCTAACGGGAAAGGATATGCGGAATTGATAGATTGTCGATAGTGTGTCGCACGGGCCCACTGCTCGTGCATCCAATATCGAAATGATAGTAAGCCTTGGCTGTGTCCCTTGTGTCGGGTTGATAAGATCCCGACCGAGGCTAACCGAGGGCGACCTCGACCCCGGAACGCGCATAGACGCGACCCCGTCGTTACTAGAAGCAGATCGACTAATTGACGGGCAGCCAACATGAACGTTAATCCACAGAATCCGAATCTGCAACAGAACCCCAATCAGCAACAAAATCCTAATCAACGTGTACTGCGAGCACGGACTCCTATGACGCCACCAGATCTCTATTTGTTTGATCCTGCGCATCATCTTGCTGGAGCATGGTTAGCTACGCTCCGGGCGCAGCAGTATGATGACAACGAAGCTCGGGTGAACATCCCCGCTCGATTAGGAGGGGACGCTCATCATTGGTTTAGTACCTATGTATGGGTGGATCTTCCAAAGCGAGATTTTATGAAGCGGTTTGATTATATCCATCCAGAACAAGCGCTCTTTATGATTAAAGATCGGGTCCAGAAACCCCTCGAGTCTGTCACAGAATATCGAAACTGATTTTACCGAATGTTTGTGAAAACAGAGCGAGGTGAGCAAGTAGGAAGAGATTTGTTCATCGACGGACTTCGCAACAGAACGATGAGGGCGAAACTGCAAAAACAGTTCTCCCCCATTAATCATACGCTGCAACAGATCATGGCCGTTGCAGAAGAGATGGAGCGAAAAAATTTGCTGCGAGTTTCCTAAAAGGAGAGGATTACTCTAGGGAAGGAGACTCGTCTGAACTAGCAGGGGCTAAGGCTGAGCTGGCCGCGTTGCAAAACAAATTCGAAAACATGGGATTTGTATCTGGCCCGGTCACCTATCTAGAGCAGATCACCCCTAAACGATCGGTTCCAAGTGTGATTGCAAACGTATCCGCTCCCGTAATGACAGTGTCCTCACCGCCGATCGAAAATCCCGCACTATCAAACGATTCGACCGCCTTGCACGAACTAACCAAAACATTGGTTAATTTGATTCAGGAGAGCAAGAAGGAGCAGCGGGAACACAATGCTCGGATCGAGGCTATGATGAGATTGATGCGACCCATCGCAGTGTGTGTCGCACCGATATAACACGGATTGGCTCCAGCACCGCCTTCTGCCGGGATCCCAGGCAATCTGAATGTCCGCTATACATGTCACCAACCAGGGCACATAGCCTGGGATTGCCCCCACCGGCCCCCGCAACAATGAGTCGGAGCCGCACCAGTAGCTGCAGCACCAATCGCTAAGGACCGGGACGGGCAGGAGCATTGATGGAAGAAATAGAGGGAAGCGGAACCATGCTAGCGTCAATGGAGGAGGCTGCGAAGCTTATTCCCTTGGATCAGTATGTAACACTGGGATACCCGGGGCTTGGGATGATCGGTACGATTAGACCCGCGCTTGAACAACGAGAAGTGGCGGAGTGGCGACCTTCTTCAGGAGAGATGGAGCCGGGAGGACCCACTTTCGTCACAAAGGAAATCGATGTTCTAAACATCATACGAGCCTTAGATCACCGAATCCCCCTTCCTATCGGTCATCTGCTTTCGATATCAGAACAGGCCAACGAACGTATGTTGCAGCATTGCAAAGCAAATCGGAAACGGTTTGCTCTTACCCGAGCAGCAAATACAAAAGCGAAAGGACCAACACCAGACGAAAATGCCGCAGGTACTTCCGATCCCATACGCTTAGGACTAATCCAAAAAGATTCATCACTTCCTGTGGATTAAACCCATCCCATGGAAATCCGCGGAATGCGACATTGAGGTATGGGGAATTCCATATAATTTTATCATCGATTTAAGAGCCGTTGTGTTGGCTATTTCATTATGGGTAGTGGACTTCGAAAGACGATCGATTGTCCTCCGAAATACGGGTGGGAAACCCTATGTGGTACCAATGAGACTGACCCTTCGTACTACCGCTAACATAGCCCCACGAGTTTCTCCCGCGATGACAAGGACCCTTCGCATGATTACCTGGGACAACGGGCAGACATCCAAGGACGCAGACAACAACGATGATGATGATGATCCCGTAATCCTGGAGATGGCACAAGAACGTATCTATTACCCCGTGCAACGGATAAATGCTAAAGCGTCGAGCAGGATTAACCAAGATTTGCAGAGAACACAGGCTATGATTATGGGAGAACCTCTCGTACAGATTTCAAGGATGGTCGATTCTTTGGAACCCCCTCGAAACCTGTACGAAGGGATCTCTCCTCTTCTCGCCCGATACAATGACAAAAGGCACTACTGCGATATCACGGATTTCTCGAAGTCTTTATTGACACCCGCAAAAGAAATTCGATTGTTACGATTGGGGGTAGAGATTAACTCTTTGGAACCCCCTGAGCGCCTTGAGAACGGACTCGGGATCAAAATTGCAAGAAAACCTGTGTCGTGGCAAGACATTCGAGACGGGGTAATACCTGAAGAACACATGGTCATCCGGGAACAAGATGCACAGATGATGGCCATGGTGTTCTCCTGGCGATCAGATAACTCATTTATCTCCGCGCCCCCGCCAGAAAATGTCAAGCGGGTGAATACAAAACACATCGATGTAAGGATATGGGATGAGTCGTAGGAGTTGCACGTACCTCGATGTGTACCTGAGATTCACCACCTAATCGCAGATATTCTAAAGGAGTACAAAGGAGCGATTCGTATGACGGACACAGACATTGGACTGTCATTAGTCATACAACACGAGATCCTAACGGGAAATCATTCCCCAATTCACTGTAAACCCTACAGATATTCCCTGGTAGAACGGAGAAAGGCTCTCGAGCGGATTCGAGAATTTGAAGCAAGCGCTTGGATCGAACCCGCCACCGGACCATGGTCGTTTCCGGTAGTATTAGTACCAAAAATGAATGGATTGATTCACATATGCATTGATTATCATAAACCGAATGACATCACGATCAAAGATGTGTATCCCCTCCCCCGGATTGATGATTTGCTGGATGCGATTGAATGTGCTAATTATTTCAGTAAGTTCGACATTTGGCATGACTTCCATCACATTTTGGTTAAGGAGGAAGATCGGCCGAAGACGGCCTTCATACTATTTGAAGGCACGTGGCAGTGGGTTCGGTGTCCGATGGGGATTTGCAATGCGCTGGCCACGTTTCAGCGAGCCATGAACGTCATGTTTCAGAACTTCGTCAACAAGACATGGTTAACGCAGAGAATGATCAACTTCTGTGTCATCGTGTACATGGACGACATCCTGGTCTATTCAGAGACCTATCACGACCATGCGCCGCATATTGAGTGGATGTTGGGTGCTCTGAGAGACGCTGGGTTCAAGATTGTGCTCGAAAAGAGCGAATTTTTTCTTTCGGAAATTTCGTTCTTGGGCTACGTCATGACACGTGGAGGACTGCGGCCTGATTCGAGAAAGGTCACGGCGGTAAAGGAAGCTCATGTTCCCACGCCACTGATGCAAGTTCGAACCTTCTTGGGGTTAGCCTCGTACTATCGACGTTTCATCAAGGGTTTCGCCACGATTACACGACCCTTAACGAACTTGTTACGGAAGGACCAGCCCCTCAGTTGGGAGTCTTGGGACGCAGAGTTCGAACAGGCCTTCGCGACCCTCAAGGAAGCTCTGGCGACGACACCTATTTTGATCCGGCCAGACCCCGCGAAGCAGTTCATTCTCATCACGGATTGGCAACCGGAGGCTATTTCCGCTATTTTGGCGCAAAAGGGGAACGACGGCCGTGAACACGTCATCGAATATGCGTCCCGCACGGTGCCAGACGAACGGAGAAACGATTCGACCCCACAGGGCGAATGCTACGCAGTAGTGTGGGGAATCCAACACTTCCATCCGTATCTGTACGGACAAAAGGTCCTCCTTGTCACTGATCACGAGCCCTTGCTAGCACTGAAAAGGCTTACTAATTACACGGACATGATTGGACGTTGGGCAGTACGCCATCATCCATCGGAAGACGGAGAGTCACGGCAACGCGGACGGACTGACACGTCTGCATCGACCAGCTAAAGTACCTAAGGCAGAAGAGATCATCCCGTGGAAGGAACCGGTGTTGGCGAACGAACCCAAGTACGGACAAGTGGCAGTCCTTCCACGTGGCAAGAGGCAGGCAGGTGGCAATGGGTGACGAAGGTAATCCTACAACTCCCCTCTCTCACCTCTCCTCCTCATCTCTCCTCTCCCTGCCTGAAAAATTTTGTTATTTTTGTGAAGCAATTTCTCACGTATATTCGGTCTCTATGCGCCCTAGCAGGGAAGGATATGCGGAATGGATAGATTGTCGACAGTGTGTCGCACGAGCCCACGGCTCGTGCATCCAATACCGAAATGACAGTAAGCCTTGGCTGTGTCCCTTGTGTCAGGTTGATAAGATCCCGACCGAGGCTCGCTTTTTAGATGCCACATGAGAAGGGTTAGAGAAGACCCGGAGGTTTAGAAGGGCCGAGGTATGGACGAATATCGCTTTGATTGCCACCCTAGTGGGTAACCCCCTCCAGGACTTCACCAAGGAAGATCGGAGGAGGGCCAATGCAAGGGCTCGGGACTACCGCTGGAATGAGGGACGGTTGGAAAAACGAAAAACGGATGGTAGTGGTATTTGGATGGTAGTACCGCACTCGTTCATGAGGTATGACTGGTGAAGACAGCGCACGAGGAAACAATTGCCCATTTTGCCGTACGGATCACGGAGGCGGCAATCGACAAAAATGAGTGGTATTGGTCGAATATTCGTGACGATGTGAAATTCATCGTCGCGGACTGTCAGGTCTGCTCTACGGACAAGGCACCGATTCAGCCGCCAAGATCAATAGTACCGACGGTAGTTGAGTGGTCTTTTCAAAGGGTTAGCACGCGGTGCCCCCTGAACCCAATAGATGTGAATATTCAATCCTACTCGTGTTCGTGGACCATTTTTCGAAATGGATCGAGGCGTATCCCTGTCGTACGCGACAGGCGGCCGAAATTGCACAATACGTCAACTGGTTTTTAGGGATGCACCAGGACACGGAGGAAATTCTGACCGATAATGGGGTAGAATTCAGGGGATAAGTCTTGAGGAATCTAGTCGTACACGGCGTCGCTATTCGGAATACCGCAGCCCATATATCGCAATCTAACGGGCTGGTAGAGAATGCAAATAGGGTGATAAAGACTGCGCTACGACGCAATATCGCGGCACAGGACCCGAGGCCCTGGCCCGATATTGTAGATCACATCCTGGCGGTCCATCGAGGGACGCCCCACGAGTCGACAGGCCTGAGCCCTTTTCAATTAAGGAGCAATAGCGTGGCCTACGCTTCAATACCAAGCCTCCTGGACGAAACTTCGTTGAACCGACGTCCCACCAGGGCCACGATTCGAGACAAGGCTAAGCGACACATGGAATTGATGGAAAGGTCCCTACCTCGATTAGCCCGAAAGCGCCAGAAAATGACCAAGTTGGCCCACGGTCGGGAGGTCCGTAGCTAGGAGGCCCGGAACGGGAATGCGGGTCCGCGGCCCCAGTACAAATTATTGGACTTGGTGCAGGTAAGGAAATGTGCTCGCCAGGGAAAGATAGCGCCACGATTTTTCGGGCTATTTCGCGTGATCGAGCTCGGTCCGAACGGCGTGAACACGGTGCGCCTCGTGCCCGAGGTCTCAGGGAGCCGATCGGCGCGGCCGATTGTACGCCACGTGTCCTATCTACGTCCCCTCCCCTCCTCCCCATCTCTTGCACCCTCTTCCTCTTCCTTGGCTACGGAAGAAGACGACGACTCTCTATCGCTTTCTTCCTCCCCTGCATCTCTCGCCTTTTCCCATACTTCGTCCCTGCCCCCATCGCCATGAGTTTTTTTACGGAGCGAGCTCTCGGCGATTCGGCAGGTTCATCATCCGCAGTTCAATTTGGATCTTCTACGACTCGCGCAATTCTTCTGCACTTCGGGGGTATACGCAGCAACCGAGTCCCGATTCGCGGGCAGTCACCAGGCGGTTGTGCTGGCAGAGGCAGTAGTTGTCCATCGGCGGTCAGCTCCAGGGATCAGCCACGTGTCCACAGTTGTCAGCTTCAGCGGCGATATCAGCACGATCAGTCTGCTGCGGCATACAACCATCCGGACGTCGCTGAGAGAGTGGGGACAACAATTGGCAGCGGAATGGAACCACTAGCTCACGTGCCACGGGGACAATCTTGTCCCTACGGACGACATCGATCTTGGTGGGATTCGAGCGTCCCAGCACGAGCCGGCGGTGGTGCTTCCGGAACTTATCCCCTTTCAGCGCCCCCAGTGAACCGCTCCCAACTCTCCACCTTCGCCCTTCCATCTCTCTTTCCCACCTTTTGGCAGTCTAGTCTTCACCCTCGCTTCTCTTTCCGTTTGGAGCCGCTCGCTGTCCCCCTCCTCGATCCAAGGCAGTGGAGGCTCTGGTGTGAACACTTCGTCAATCTTTCAGTGTGCCTGGTCGGAGTGTGACTCACGTGGACAAGGGACGAAGAGCATCACGCTTGGATCGAGTACTTGCAGTTGCTGATCATCCAGGCTTGGAGGACGGATGTGGAGGGCGATCTTCTCGGGTTCCTGTTCGGATCGGTGCGGCCTGGCCATCGCCAACTAATCGTGCAGGAGCTCACAGTTCCTCTCGCGCAGTTGGTTGACCTTCTCCCCCTTGATATCGTCTCGCAGAGCGACGAGAGCCCGGTCCCGCACGTCCTCACACGAACGCTGACGCCGTACCTTCAGTGGTCGGCGTGCCTAGAGGAGCCGGGAAGCGGCCGCAACCCGCCATCGCAGCGGGGATATCTTGACCCACATGAGATAATCGACCTCGCTTTCTTCCAAGCTCGAACGGCCTCTGAAGACGAGGAGTTAGCGATCGAAGAAGAAGAAGAAGAAGAAGAAGAAGAAGAAGAAGAAGAAGAAGAAGCTGCTGAGGAGGACGACAAGGAAGAGACACCGGAAGAGGGGAGTTATAGTGAACACAGCAAAGGAGAGAAGAGTGAGGAGGAAGAAGAAGAAGAGCAAGGCGAAGAAGAGGAAGAGCTAGAGCTTGAAGAATCTGAGTGGGAGATCTCGGCGGTGGAGGCGGAACAAACGGACGCTCAAGCAGAGGACCCCGAGGTGGCAGGCAAGAGAGAGGAGATCGCGGTCGGAAAGCGACAGCTGGAATTCGCCAGCGGAGCAAATTTGCAGCTCGCCGACGATCTGGCCCGAGATCTGGAGCCGCCCAAACCCGAAGATGGAGACCCAGCGGCCGAGACTTCGAGCGCACCGGCAAGGCGGCGACAAAGCCGATCCCCCTCCCCCTCCACCTCCGACTGTCCACCAGTCCGAGCCAATACCGATGCGGGCCATCGGGCTTCGTCCCCGATCGTTATCCCCCCGTCCCCTTGACCATCTCACCCTCCGCCAAATCACCACCCGTGTCACCTTCCCCCATAATCCCTTCCCGATCGATACCTTCCGTTTCTTTTACGCCACCCGTCTTGTTGTTACAGTTCACCCCCATCCCTCGACCCGGTGCGCCCTTCCTGACTTCTGCCTTCACACCCTTCTCCTTAGTGCCGCGTGGCGAGGCCACAATATCGTCGAAGTTTATTGCATGATTACGGGGACTATCCTCGCATGCGAGAACTACGACCATTTCCGCGCGGCACTCTTCTGAACCTTCGCCACTCTGTATCCCGATTACCTCGCCTCCCTCCCCCACAGTGGTAATCGCTTCCCCTGTTTCCACCGGATCGTCCGATATCATGAGCTTCCGGAGATGGTGGCGCGGATGAAAATCTTCCTACCACCGCTCCCGATTAACCCTCCCCCTCACCATGCCCCCATGTATCGTCTTCCCTTCCCCCTCCCCGGTGGACATTGATGATCGCATTGTTCGGTTGATTGGTGTGCGTGCGACGACGATGGAACGAAATATCCCCTCCTTGGATTGACGAGATTCCTCCTGTAGGACAGAGCCCGTATGCCACGTTGGATGACGTCCACACTCCTTCACACGGTAAGTGGCAACGAAAAGCTCCGCGTGTCGATCGATTAGAGAAATTGACACATGTCATAATTCAAGCAAGCAGGAGCTTGCTTAAGATTGGAACCCCCTGGGCGTCACATATGTGACGAGCCAATTTCTGTTCCGCGCGGTTTTCTGCGCGATAACAATGAGGGGTCCTAAGCTGGGAAGGATGGGCCAATTACGGGAGATCGGGATCGAAGGGAAATTGCATCGGTGTCCTCGTTTCTTCGACTTTTTGCGTCGTCTCTTTTCGGATAATTGGGTGCATCACTGGGCGAGTCCTGGGATGATCGATTGAGTGGCGTGTCGTCGAGCGTGCGAATAATATTAGTTGACGTCGTTCCTTTTCGTTTTTCTGTTGTTGGATTTTAGGCGCGGACTCGGAGACCACGCGGGAATTTTTGCTTCGTTCTTTTTGAATCTTGTCAAGCCCCAATGGCTCTTATAATTTCGGACTTTCCTTTCGGAAATTGTGCTTTTAGTTTTCTGCATCAGATATGAATTTAGGAATTTTGCAATTAGGATTTTCTTTTGTCGCGCGACGCTTTTTGCTTACGCGCTTCTTTGTGCGGGTGCAACGAAACTCTGATTAATCGGCGCCTTTAATCGAGTATGTAACTGTAATTTTGGGCGGGCGCCATTGTAACTGTATCTTTCTTCTTGAACTTCGTCTTTCCCGCTCTCGCTTCTTCTCTTGCTGTGCCTAGCTAGCCCACGGACTGCATGCTCGGATCGATGTGTGGAGAGAGGCTACGTCCCCTACGCCGCAATCTGGCCATACAGAACGCAGACACTCCCTCTCCTAATCTCCCTTCTAAGTCCTTGCAATTCTGTGTTCTTCGCGCATGCATGCACGCTATAAATTCCGGCTGCGCGGTTAGATAGCTCTCTTAAACAGTTGTTGGAAGCTCGGGGAGCGGGATCAGTGAGGGTCAGTTCGCGAGCGAAGTAAGAGGTGAGTTCAAGTGGGAGTTGGGCGACCCGACGAGCTGGTGCCAAACGCGCGGGGTTGACGCGGGCCACGACGGACTGTGGGCGAGGGCGAACCTGACGGGTGATGGAGGACTAAGCGGGGTGACGACTTTGTGGGTTGGTGCGTGACGACGGACTGTCCGCATCGGAGAGAGAGAGAGAGAGGAAGAGGGAGTTGAGGTTGATGGACGTGGATTTGCCGTTTTCTTTATCTCTTCCCCCTCCTTGCTTTTGTATATAAATTTTGATTTTGGCTCAGGGCGATTTGCCCGTTTTCTCTTGTTTTCGGAATCTTGGTCGGGTTTTGGCCCCCACTCGTTTTGCGATTGATCATGATCTCGTTTGTGTGTGTTATGTCGAATGAATTGATGAACGAATGTCATGTCTGATTGCTTTTCTTTTGTCTGGTCTTTGCTTTTTCTTGTCATGAGCATAGTAGGAACTTTTTCATGGTCGTCATTACTGCTTCCATTGCAGTTTATCCCCTTTTTTACTGTTGTTGCTGCACTTTGCATGCTTAGGAATGATTGTGTACGGATCACGGAGTGATTAGATGATTGGGTAGTTGTTTGTCCAGAAACAAGCGAATACCTCGCGGGGATGCGTGTAAGGGCGATCTGATCTGTGCAGCCTGCACGTATCCATGCGCACTGATTCGCGACCATCAACGAACTTGACACCGTTGATATCGGGTAGGCGGGAATTTCCCTTCCCCCACGCACCTAAACGGATAGGAGTTTCCGATATCACATCGGAAAAATCTCCTTGCCGATTAGACACGTGTGAGAGGATTCCATCACACCGCAATGACAAAATGACGTACTCGAGGGACTCCAAGTGACCGAGTCATCGTGGGATCCGGAGTATTTCGACCCCTGGGTGAGAGAGTGTCTTAGACAGAGACGCCCGAAATTCCCCTGCCTAACCGAGAATCGATTGTGCCCCAGGGAGTTTCACTGTGCCACAACCAGCGATCCGAGGTGCCCCGATTTTCCCACTTCGGACAACACCCATTACTTCATATCCCCCGGCTTCGTCGTCATTTCTACCAACTTCCCTCCCTTCCGCCTACTCCTCCCATATCACTAACTCACGGTGGTACCGTGGAATTCCATCGCTTCGTACTGGCCCCGCACGCCTTGCGGAAATTGCTGGCGACGCGGCAACCGACGAGCCCCTGAAACTAGAGGGCCTCACCGAAACGTGAGGCAATAGACGCCACGTGCCTGCACCCAAAGGACCGACTCATCGGGAACACAACAATCCTGGGCGGGCCTCTCCTCGAACCGCCACCGCCTAGACAGACGGATCGGACGGCCCTGAATGCACCACGCATGCCATCTGCCTTATGCTGCACGACATTGAACGCCAAAAAGACCGGAAGCAACTCGCCCCCTTGGCTTATTGCACCCGTGCCCCTGAAACCCTGCCACAGGAGATCTCAGTTCTGACCTGGGACTCCACCCCCACTTTCCCAAACATCCTTGGCACACCCCTTTTCGCACTTCCAGGCCCACATCCTACTCCGATCAGGAAGTCGCGCTGGGCGTGAGGTTGGGCGTCATAGAGCCGAAAGATGTCGCGTAGTTGTCTTTGTGCTATAACTTGAGCCAGGGAGAGTGTGTCTGCGGGCGGCCCTCCCCCTGTGGGTTGGGAAGTGGATCTACGGTCCATCCCCGGGTCCGGAGTAGTATTAAAGTCCCCTGCCAGAACGGTCGGACAGTCTGTCGGCAACACTTTGTGAAGGGTGCATAGTGTTGTAGAGGCCAGTCACTGAGTACACAGTGATCACTTGGAGGAGTAGGCCGTGGGTGTCCTGGAATATGAGACCACCTCCCATCCCATCCTCACGTCAATACTCCTAGTGCACCCCCTATCCCACTATCCTACCTCAGTATGACCAGCACTCAGGAGCATTACCCTACCAATGGGCAGGTAACTTGGACCGAACAGCAGTGATAGCCTGATAGGCACCAGGGCTGATAGGTTGCCCGACCCTGGTGGAAGCGGAATCGGACGAGCCTTGTCGAACGGGAATTTCGGACGCCAGGCCCAGATAATCTACTACAGGCCCCAACAGACTCTGGGCCCTAGGTTTCAGACAGGGTAGCACCCAATGAAGCAGTCTTACCGTCCTTCCCCTAGCTTACCCAAGGCCAGGCGGAACTCGGACTGGCCTGAGTGACTTATACCCCTACCCTTATATAGTCACTAGACAGTTTATTCGAATATCAGTAGGAACTCTGGTGGCCCATACCTGTCCCTACCGCAGATACTAGACCCCACCCAGTGAATAGACCCCCCCAGTCTGATAGTTGTGTAGTTCGCAATCTATGTGTGTACCCGAAGGCTATGTATGCTCCGTGTATCTATGTATCAAGATGTACAGACAGCACCATGTGTGGAAACTTGTGTATGTAGCCCGTAGGCCATGTATAATTCGCAAGCTATGTATATGCCCGAAGGGTATGTGTGCTCTGTGAATCAATGTATCGAGATGTATAGGCAGCATCATGTGTGTATATCGAAGAGAGAACGGGGTAAGCTGGACAAGGACCCCCCCAAGGTCCGAACCAAGCTCGACCCCGTGACCTTGTAACGTGTAATCGAATGACTCTATCATGTGAACGACTAGTGAAAATGGCACGAACGTGTGATCTGCCAGACTGGGGAGATCAACAGAACACCCAAGACGAACACCCCCAAGAAACCCATGTGAAACCCAGAACCAACATACAACACCATTGAACAACCCTTGGGTGGTGCGCAGGCAGTGTCTGTAATAGCTAACCTGCGTCATCCCAAGGGGGGGTGTCCAGCCGTGCGTCATTCTAACGCCCTGCCGGTGTCCATGCGCAAGGCTACGGATCTGAACCCACAACCTCATACCACAATGCACATTTCAAACCGGTGCTCTAACCACTGAGCTACATCAACTGGACGTTAGTGTTCGCAGCACGTAGGAGCTGTGTTTACCATCCTGGGATTTTGTCGTTTTGTGTCGAACATGCTGGTGTCGTTGGGTGTGTACCGGTAGCCGGGCGTCAGGTGGTCGTTGGGAAGGTGGCACGATTAAGGGAGAGGGGTTAGAGTGGTGGCCCTGGTGGGGAATCTGTTCACTACCTGAAGTTGTGGGCGGCGGCCGAAATTTTGACGGCCAGCCATTGAAGACCGGTAGGTTGTGCAGTTGGGGTGCCAAGGGGGTTGAGGGGTTTTGCGGATTGTTTTGTTGTCTTTGTCCGATCTGTCGGTTGGATCCGGTGGAGTTTGGATGTAACGGATCCAGTGGAGTGTGGATGTAACCTCATCAGAAGTGCCCGTCGGATCTCTGGAGTGGATGTGAGATAGGGCCTGGCTCCACTGCTCACCAAATGTGCAAAATGAGAATGTCATTGAATATAAGGCTGGAACATGGCAAGATACACCACCATATTTTTTGTCCTTTTTCCCTTTTTCTTTTTTCCCTTTTTCATTTTCATCTGTTTCTTGGTGACGTTACCGTTATGTGCATTTGGCTGCATGGATGTCTAGAGACGACAGGTTTTGCCGTTTTGTCTGATTCGTGGCGTGTGGTGTGATGTCACCATGGTGACCTCAAGTGAGGCCCAAAACCAGTGGCCAGATTGAGTTCTCGTTTTTTTTTTTTCTTTTTTTTTGAAGGGTGATGTCATCATGGTGACTGCAAGTGAGACCGCAAAACCAGTCGCCAGATTAAGTTCTCTTTGTAGGAGTGCTTGATCTGGCCGTTGGTTTTGGGTTTTTGGAAATACGAGCCCGCAGTCTTGCTTTTTTTCTTGGGGGGGGGGGAGCGCACAGCCTTTCCTATTTTTTTGGGGGGGGCAAACCCGTAGCATCTGATGGGACGAGAGAGGTGTGGGGGAAGCCGTGGTTCCCAACGTGAAAAATGGGAATGGATCTTCTGCTATAACATGGGAAGGTGCATTGCTTTTGTGCATGTGAAGAGTGGTGTGGCGAGGCCCCTACTTACCTACTTACCTTTAGTTCGTCCTTTTTCTTCTCCCGTTGTTTTTTTTGAAGGGTGATGGCCCTGAGGTATGAAACCGTTTTCACCTTTGCAGTAGCAGATGCAGATACCAGGGTTCGATCCCTACACCTTACCTCACCCATGTACAGTACCAACTAGACCCCTGTGTGTTTGAACCCGTGACCTATGCCTTGGTAGCTGACTGATGTATGTCGTAGGTCTGTGTAGCGGTTGGGTTTTGAACCGTAGGTCTGTCGAGTAGAGGTCATAGCTGTGTAGGGGTCGTAGTTGTTGCAACTCTGAAAGGTCAAGGTCGTAGCTGCTACAGTCCTGAAAAATCAAGGTCGCTGCTACAGTCCTGAAAGGTCAAGGTCGTGGCTGCTACAGTCCCGAAAGGCCGAGTCCACAGACTTCTGGAAGGTCCGGAAGTGGCCTTTAGAGTGTTGCTCACGACAGAGGCGAGTGGTCAGCGGTACCCAGTCCCAGTCTCACTTTGTCCAGTCAGCAAGTACCATGTGGGACTGTGTGCACCATGGGCCCGGTGGAAAGGGGGAGACCAGCGACCAACAGAGGTATAAATCAAGAGGCAGCGTCCAGCCATTCATTCATTCTGCTGGGAGCCATGCGGAAGTGCTGCCCGAGCATCTTGTGCGAGGTGTCTGCAGATGCCCGAAGTCGAAGTGGGCTGTGAGGAAGGAGGAGCGACCATCACCGCTAGCTACTAGGTGTAGAAGGCGGCCATAGCCGCCATAGTTTAGAGAGAGCCTGTAGAGAGAGAGAGAGAGTGTGTGTGTGTGTGCGTACCGAGTTAGAGCACATGGGATATCCAGGGAGGTCTAGAGTGGAGTGTGTGTGAACATTTGCTGTGAATACAGAGTCAGAACAGTGAAGTGTAGGCGCTCAGGCGCCATAGCCAGTTCGAAGCAAATTTGTATCTGAACTGTGTTCTTGGCTGTAATATCTCTGAGCTTCGTGTGGGCACCTGGCGCCAGTGTGGATTGCCACCTGTTTGCATGCATGTGAAGTAAGCAAGAAAACGGGTCTGAGGGCATACTCACACTAGCACATACTTCTGCAAATTTTACGTATG